CTTTTGTATCCCCAGTCAAGTACCATTTTCAACATGTCAGAGACATCCCATTTTCAATATCTAGGTCATACACATGCGTTTGAACCCCACCCCTATAGAACATTGTATCCTCTCTAACAAACTCCCCCTCCATGATGCACAATAACAGTGAACTTATCCATTATCTATATCAAAAACTATTTCATCATCAGAATGGTGTTCTAAACATAACAAAAGAAAAGGTGAAAATGGAGTAGGTTGAGCGATTTTTTACCTTAATTCACGTTTCTTCGCAGAATATATCAATAGAGTTGCTTGAATGATGACTTAAACCTTGAACGATGACTTGATTGCTTGGAGCTCTTCAATGGCGTTTCCACTTGTGGAAAAATGGGAGGACTATAATAGAACTTCTATTGTTATTTTATAAACCCAAATTCCTGAGGTGTCATAAGTTTATCCATATGTCACTTAAAAAAAATAAAAAATGTCACTTATCATGACACATAGGCATCGAGTGTGTGACATTCTCCCCAAGATTCAAATAACCAGAATCTTTATATGGCAAGGTTGCTTTTGCAACAACAAAATTACAAGGGTGTAAACCAGAACTGGCCTATATGTCAGTGGGTAAAATGATATTAACTCTTTAACTATTAATGTGCATTTGATTGGTTTAAAAACAAGAAATTAGACAACCCAACTCCAGTAAACCGTTTATATGAAGAAAAAAAATCAAATAAAAGCTTCTTTTTTTACTAAATCGTGATACAAGTTTTTGTCTGAAGTAGATATCATAGAGATTTGACAAAGTGTTATGTTGGTTGTCGACTGTTTAACATAATTCTCTCATGGATCCGCTCGAAATCCTCGAAGTACCGTAGGTAGACGACATCTGTGTAAGTGACACTCTTGTCCATAAAAATCATAGTGCCAACCAAATATAGCATGTATGATCTCATAGCATACACTCTATGAAGCCCTGCCTGCTTGTCATCTCCTCTAGCCTCATGTGCTCTAAGGAGCTTATATGTATATAACTTTTTCAAGAATTCAAACCTAGCATGATCTCCCCTGGTTCTATCCAACTCTGACATTGCATACACTGAGTCAACTCCCAGATGACCTACCAGCATCTCTAGTGCCTCATCTTTGGTAATCCTCTCATGATCTAGAATTTTCCCCCTTATTGGAAGATATAGGAAACACGACACGTCGTTGAGTGTGATAGACATATCACCATGTGAGAGATGAAATGGAGAGGTCTCAGAGTGTCATCTCTCCACAAATGCATTAAGCATCTCGTAGTTGATCGTAATATAATCGGTCATGCACAAGTCCTTCATCCTTGATAGGGACAAAGCTTCCTGAAATCACTCCTTATTCGGCTGAGGCAAACTAGTAATCTTCTGCCCGTGCTTAATAATCTCCAGTGGATCACGGTCATGCAGAATAATAAATCAAAGTCAGAAACTTGTCAATTAAAATAAACTTAAATTAAAAGAATGAATCTAACTCATGTTACCTCTTCGTCCAAGATATGTATGGCAGTATGGTCTGGGTACTTAGGCAACGGTGACAACTCTACAAGGTCTCCTCCAAATGCCTATGGCTCAGTATCCTTAGTAGCTTCATCATTCGGAGGTGGCAATGGCTTAGCATCAGCAGCAGTAGGAGGTGGCACTGACTCACTAGCATCAGCAGTATCAACGGTAGGAAGTGGCACTGGCTCAATAGCATCATGTGTCGGAGGTGGCAGTGGTGCCTTCAGTATCACCAATGACTCGGGTATTTGAGGCGCCTTAATAGGTGAAACCTGGCGCCTGCGAGAGGATAGAGGGAGTGATGCGTCAGTATGTAGAACATGTCTCTTATGACAAGAAGAAGATGGAGAAGGAAGAGGAGATGCATGAGGCCCAGAAGTATATGGCTTTACATGGCCACAGTGAACATGAGCCTCCGAAACCTGACTTTTCTCCTGCCACACTGATGCATGTTGTGTAATCCTCCCGTGCCTCAGTCTATCGTGTTTATCATCCATAATGCTTGTAAGTTAAAGTAAACTAGAAAATTAGTACAAGCAAGCAACACTACAAACACGAAAATAAAAAAAATAAAAAAACACATATTGCTATTTTATAGAGATGCATCTCCAGGTAATATAAAGCAAAACGTTGAAAAATTTCAGAGATGCATCTCCGAGTAATATGAAACCAAGCATTGAAAAATTTCATAGATGCATCTCCGCAATTTTTTGCAACTCTTTAATTCATCAATGGAAGCAATGCAGAAATGCAAACCTCAAAATAAACTATTTTATCGTGATTTTCAACAAACAAGCATGTTTTATAGCATGTATAAATTAAAATTCTTGCATTTCCTACTCATTTGATATCTAAATTATCATTTTCTACTCATTTACAACAAAAAAAAAAAACTCAACTCAGAAAAACTTATCAAAACATCAAAAACTTAAAAAATTTCACTTTGCTTCAGCGTTGGATGATGTTACTGATGTTGATTGATGATCCTTTGAGCTTGCTTGTTTGATTTTGGACTTGGTGATGAAAAAAATTGAGAGAGTTTTGAGTATTTATAAAAATGAGAAAGAAGAAGGGTTATGGCATGATTTAAGCTCTAATTTATTTTGGAGATGCATATCCGAAATAAGTTTAAAGATACATCTCTGTAATATTTTAACGTTAACTCAGAATTTGGTGTGTTTAGAGATGTATCTCCATAATTTATTGGCATTTAAGTATTTTCACATAGTACTTAAGTAATATATATATATATATATATATATATATATATATATATATATATATATATATATATATATATATATATATATATATATATATATATATATATATATATATATATATATATATATATATATATATATATATATATATATATATATATATATATATATATATATATATATATATTGCATTAAGAAATTTTTAAATTTAGAGAGGAAAATGAACCTTTAAAACTTTGTGGCATTAACCATTTCTATACTCTCGAAAATATAGGGTTGTGTGCAATCACACATTGTAAACATAGTTCAAACTACATGTAAGATATATTGGCACAGTTCATTTTTAAAGCTTGGTACCGACTAATTTTAGAAAAACAATTTCACTTTCTATTTGCGGGCTCTATTTATGATTAGTGGTATTTGAATCTGATATTTTGAAGAAGAGCACATTTTCAAGATCCAAACCTTGTCATCCCTTAGAGCAACTTTAATGCAGGGTTGTTAAACCAAAATTCTTTATAGCTTACGTTAATAATAAGGAATTTGCATTATAGTAGTGCTGACATGGCATATGGGATGCTCTAAAACTAGTTTACGTGCTCTACACAAGCAACGTACTCTAACTCATCATTTAACAAAAATAATACATTTTTATTAATTATTTAAAATAAATAATATATTTTTATTAACCATTTAATACCATGTGGGGTCAAGTTTTGATTTGTTATAGACAACCATCATTAAAGTAAAAACTACTCAAATCAACTATAAATTTTTTAAATCCTACAAATCACTTTGGACCCACAAAAAGTATCTTAGTTTACCCATTTAGTTTACTCCCACTAAAGATGCTCTTAGAATTAGACACATTGACGCAGTTTATTCATCTTTATCTCTATTATGTATTGTTATTCATCTCTATCATTTTCAAGATTCAAATCTTGTCATCCCTTAGAATTAAACACATTGATGCAGTTTATTCATCTCTATCTCTATTATGTATTGTGATGCGGTAACGGTTTGTTTTTTTTTTTTAATTTAAAATGATTTTTTTAATGTAATATAGTTTTGAATAAAAAAATTTACAATGAAATTTTTTATAAAAATTTCACATAAAAGTTTAATTTTAATAGATATTTTTAAAATAGTATTTTAAATATTTCATCATATTATTGAGAGAAAAATAGATATTAAAATTTCAAAAAAAATATTTAATATTTAAGCTATTTCAAATAGTTCTTCATAAAAATTATTTTTGAAATATAATTTTTTTAAAAAAAATTGTAATTTCAACTATGTTTTAATCATATATATTTATGTAAGATGTCAAAATTAGTATTTCAACTTAGAACAAAACAAATATTATTTTATTTTATTTTACAAAATAAACGAGAGAAAAAAAATCTATCCATAGAATGAATACTTTGAAATGAGAAACAGAACCACATCCACAAGAATTTAACTTAATTATTATACTTGAATTCTTCTTCTGGAACATCATCCCATGAGGTTTAACTGGAATTTGTACCATTTTAGATGTTGCCTAGAAATTATTCATAATTGTAATAAGAAATGGGTTTTCTTCACATTCCCAAAATCGTGGATTCTAAAAAAGTTCAAGCTCTCGTTAGAATTCACATCCATCATACTCATTTGTATTGTTTAAATAGGTCCCACTTATTTTTTTTATATTATATTACACTTTTAATTATTTAAACAACTCAACTTCATTTTCCAAATATCCATACAACTCATAAAATTTGTAAAATGGGACCCACTAAATACCACAATATATTAATTACATGCACATGTGACACTTGTAGAAACGTTGTTTAATGTGACAACTGTTGCAAATTAAAGAACGGTGTTATTATGCAATTATCCATCCTTTTCTGACACAATCACTTTGGTAATAGTGTAGGAACCATACATTTGAACTGATAATTATGCTCTTAGTACTGAAGTGCAACTATTACTGTATTACAATATTACAGAAACAAAATTTTAAAAAGCTATGGCTCTGTTGTAAATGCATCAAACAAGTTCAATATGTGATGAATGTCTTAATCTATGCCAGAATTCAGTTCACTGCATGCAATACAAGAGACTAGGATACTTTAGGGAGGTACAAAGAAAATAAGATATATAATTCTTATGAACATATTAAAAGGAAAATAGTTTAAAAAGACCATGGTTGTGAGAATCAGACCCGTGAAAAGACTAGTTCCTTGTTTGCATGTAAGGGACCCGTGATTCAACCATATAAATCGCGCCATGGCTCCTTGATCTCCTTTGATGTCTTTTTTGGATTCCATATCACTTTGTCTTCTGAAAACTGCAGACCTGTACTGCTAGCCAAAATCTCACCTATTTCACAAATTGCCTAGCAGGAACCACAAAAAATAAGCTATGGATGAGTTTACGCCCATTTATTGCAGCAGAAAATGGAAATGTAATTATGGGCATTTTTAAGGAAATGTAATCATATCATGTGCTTTAAAAGTGGTAAGGAAAATGAATACCTCATGCTGTTTGGTAGATGTATTGTCCAAATATTGATTAGTTTGTCCAATTAGAAAAAAGGTAGGTAACTTCATTACTCGAACAAAGTGAAGAAAACATGCAAAATTTTCGTGTTGAATCCGCAATGAAGATGGTGGTTCCTGGGTTTTCTTTAGTAAGGCCTGCATTATGTCTGTAATTTGACCAATCTGTATGCCATAAGTTAAGGCTTTGCTTTCATCTGATCTTAGGGATTTACTGTTCCCTTTAACTTTGGATGATTCCACCAAAAAAGGTACCAAAAGTGTAGGCATCGTAGATGGATCATCGCCTTTTAAAATTTTATTAAGGACTTCATTAAGAGCACATGCTAGTACTGGCGGCTCGTAATGTTGCATAATCACAAGTGATACCTGGATATGAAGAGGTTTTACAAAATCAGATGTATATCTAGAATGAAAATTAAGACACGAGGATAACAAATTTTCAAGGAAATTATTTGAGGCTCAAGTTTATCCATTAATTTCTTTTAAAAGTATATCAATTTCATATCAATTAAAATTGATATGAAAGTGATACCAGTGTCTTAAGAGTACTGGGGCAAGCTTTTATTGAAAATTGAAGCTTTTAAAATTTTGAATGTTATGATTCTTAATAAAACTCTCTATATATTGGTTCTTTAACCATTGCCCATAAGGCTCTTTAGCGAGACCGAACTCATAATTAGTAGCAAATGATAAATATATGTTAATAAGTAATAGCAAACATTATAGCTCTCTGAAAAAAATCACTCCAGACATTAGATAATCTTGCTTGATCAGTATTTTGAGGAAAATAGGAGTACTTGAGGAGATGAAGCTAACTGGGTCGCTATGCTTGCCATGATGGAGAACTAGAAGCATCGCTATGGTGGTCTTCTGGAAGCAAAACCATCCAATGCAACCTGGAAAAATTTTGAGAAGGCACTGAGCACCATCTGATGAAGGAACAGTAGAGAAGACTGCATATAAGGGCATTTTGTCAGAGGATAGTGACAACCACTGTGAATCAAAGTATAGGCATTGAAACAGAGACAGTGTCAAAAACGGAACAAATGGCATCAACCAGGAGGAGCGGTTCTTGCGTGGATCAGACGACATGCGGCTTCCAAAACAGCCACTGCAAACACCCAAAATGTCAGAAGCTTTCTCAGTTGCATAAAGGGCTATGCCGTTTGAATTGCAGTTTCAACATCTTTACAAAAAGAGGGAGTTACAAGTCCTGGGTAGCAGTTAAGCAGAGCAAAAGAAAGATTGCATAGGTGGCTGGAAAACAGTTAGCCTTGGGAGAGTATAGGCACTCTTGAATTTCCTATTGTGCCTCTTTTTATTTAACCCAGTAAACTTCATTATACTGGTTCTGGATAACTGTTCAGAATCTTAATCTTTAATATAATCAGCATTTACTTCCCATTATATGGTGTGAGATTATCAGGTACTTATCAGGACTTTAAAAAAATGAAGAGTAAGCCAAAACCAAATCAATAGAGAGAATGGAAGGCAAAGCACACTCTGAATTTAATGGGTCAAGCCCCGCCTATCATCTCTTGTGGTCCAAGAAGGAAAATTTCCAAACCATGGTTTTTAAGTTGGGACATTTGGAGTGAGTACAGAAATAACAAAATCCGAGGAACAATCAATAGCATCAATTTACGATTTCAGCAGCAGCTGGGAAAACGGACGTCATAAAGCAGAGGTTACAAGCTGGTCGGTCTACTTCCTACTCATTGGTGGCAGAAATTTCAATCCATGAACAACGGAATTCATGAGGAAATTCATGTGTTTCACGCATAGTTCAGCGATACTATTTCGACTTATGGGACTCCAGTAGAAGAACCTGGAAGAGGAAGCTGGGTACTTATCTCCTTCACTTTCAGAATAAGGTGAAACTCATTGTGGACAGTCCCAGTATTGATAGACTCGATAGACTAGAACATAGGAGGCACGAGAGGATGAGGGAACGTGTGCATTTTGTTGGGGGAAAAAAGTGGGGAAAACAATAGAAAGTGTTGTGTGGCAGAGAGGGGAAGGTGAAGATACTGGAATTAGGGAATGAGAGGGGAGAATGAGGAATATAGAAAAGGGGGACATGTAACCAAAAGGGTATCAAAAAAATTGTGAAAGGAATATTGGGCTAGGCTGATTGAAGAAGTTGGTTCTTCTACTGCGAAAAAGGGGTTCAATAGTTGTCATCTCTGTGTTTATCACTTCTGTGAGGAGCATTGCTCCTTTACATCTTTACTTTCTTCAATATTTCCATTTTCTGTAAAGTACATATTACAATCTCCAAAAATCCAGATTTAAAGCATATTTAGTACAAGGAATCAAAATTTTCAGAATGGGAAAGGTATTACTTGAATGGAATGTCCTAAGAAGCACAATTACTTCAAATTTGTGTAAGTTACCTATATACCAACATGAGAGAAAATATTTAAGCAGTGAGTTATGGTACTGGATAAAATACTTGCATCCATATACTTTCTACATGACTGCTGTTACTCCAGTGTTTGGTTATACCAAGAGCGGAATGGCCCACTTTAATGTCAAAGAATATAGAACTAAATCAAAATTATGATTAATGAACCATAACAAAGGGACAAGAAATAAACATCAGTTCATTTCTACCAGCATCAAATAACAAATACCACGCCTTACACCCCCAGAATGGCCTAGCAGCAGCTATTGCCCTAATTATCAAATTCATCAAAATTCGCAACGCTATAGCACTGCTATTTAACAACACTGGATTCGCAACGGTTTTCTTTATGATTAGGTTGCATTCTCTTCATCGTAGACAAAGTAAAATATATCAACTATATTTATAGCAGGGGAGGGCAATTGCAGCCCCAATATGAAGGTTCTAGGGTTTCTACTATCTACAACAGTATTACAACTGCAATGTCAAGGTTTGAATCGTAAACCACAACAACAACCACAATTAGAAACCCTAATCCCCAAAACTGATAGAGATTCTACAAGATTAGGTCAACTTCATTAAAGCAAAAAATGATATCATTGTTTTTCTACTCATATGAGCTCCATTTCTTGAAATAACTACAAAGACATAACAAAATGATAGAGCAATTGCATTAGGCAAAAGTGTAGTTGAAAAAAAATGAGGACCTTGTAAATGCCGTGACTATCAACATAGTGAAGAACATTCCCTGATGCTTTATGGTCCTTGATTCCATAACTCTCCAAAGAGAGTTCAAACGAGTCCTCTCTGAAACCAAAAACAAAAAGGAACAACCGATTGATATTGATGTACGTGAAAAAATAGATTGAGAAAAAGTAAAAGAAAAAAGGTTACAGGCGGGTGAAGGAGGAAGAAGGGTTAGGGTGAAGAGCTTCTGAGATAGCGGAGGCGAAACCCTCAGAGTCTCTGAACATAAACACTGTGATCGGAGCTAACTTCATTTCGGTATCGTGCTACCTGTTCGTTCGCTTGTTCCAGACAACTGATACTGTTGTGATGTTTTCAACTAGTAATTTCTTAGACCCAAATTTGTCATTTGAAAAAGTTAAAAATAAAAACTCTGAATTCAAGCCTCTCATGTTATCTCAAAAATCATTTTTGATCCTTATATTATGGCATACTACGTACTTATCAAATTAGTTTTCTATTTTGTTTTAAAACAATTTTTGTCTTTTTTTTTAAGAAAAAAATTAATATGTGATAATTATGGGTATTGTGAAATACGTCAGATTATTGATACTAATAAAGTAAAGATAAAGAGGATAAATATAAGTTTTTCAATTTGTAAGATGTTTAAATATGGTAATAAAGTAAGACTTGATTTTGCAATGAAATTTGTTATTGATTAGAGATGCAGTTAAGACTTATGTAATTGAGAGAGGAAGAAAAAACTTGTATTTTAAGAAAAATGATAGTAAAAGAATAGATGTCATGTGTGTTTAAGAATATCCATTTCACATGAGATTCAGTAAGAGGGTAGTCATTCAGTTATGACGGTTAATGAGTCTAACTGATGATCTTATTTGTCATAGCCTCGTAGGACTACAGGAAATTGGCAAGCTTAAGTTAAGTGGTTTGCAAAGAAATTTATCTCAATCCTAAACATACTTCTAAAATGAAATCAAAAGTGTAATGATATATTTGTAAAAGACCTATTAAGAATTGAGGGATTGCAAACTACTCTTAACGAACTACTTGAAGGGATCACTTTAAGGAACCTCTGTTAGGGACCGCCTCGGCCTAAGCAGCCCTTGCTAACTCAATCATGGAAAATGTGATAAAAGACATTCATCGGATAGAGAGAAGTTAGGGTTAACAGTATAATCCACACCTCTCTAGAAAATAGGAATTCAACGATCCACCACTGATTAAGTGGGTGGTTACCCTTCCCAAGAAAAGTTTAGGCCTAAGAGCCTCTATAAATACTTCAATCTTAGGGTTGAGAGGGAAAAATTACAACATACCCATAATAACGAATAAACATATAGTTTATCACTTCTCTTGAGCTTATTCTCTCTATAGCCAAAAACACCACCAAACATGGGAAAACCCTAACTACTAGAAAAATACCAAGAACTTTGGTCATCCCTGTCAACTTAGGGGTGCCACACAATCCTGTACTTATTTTCGAGTACAGTGGCGCCCACCGTGAGGATCTAGTAAAACTAACATGCGTCATATTTTAGTTATCATCGCTTTCACCACCTTCCTTTAAAGATGGCCAACAAAGCTCCATACTCTATGGTTAACACCATAACTAGAGGTTTTGTCAAATGAGTAAGCTCCAACTCCTCCCAAAGGAAATATATCACGCAGGTCTTAATCTCGAATGTAATATACCTCAAGACTCTCTAAATATAATTGGGGAGAACGGGCCAACATCACCTTTTCTAGCAATGACAGTGTTGGAATGCTGCCACACAATGATGACTCCATGGTCATCATTATGCAACATAACAATTTGGATATCAAGCGAGTCTTGACAGATCTAGTAAGCTCATCTGAAATCCTATTTTAGGAAACTTTCCAAAAGCTCCAACTCGATCCCAACAAGATTAAGGCATTCTAGAGACTGTTGGTAGCTTTATCATACGAACAAGTGAAAATAAGAGGTCACATAGTTTGACAATGGGAAAGGAAGAGTTCGCTCTTGGGGGTGCCTCCCTCCCCGAAGCACTGGATGCAAACACTGATAGTTGGAACCAGGCTCAATGTGGTCAATGAGAGACCCAGACCTATAAATGACCTAAAGGATGCCAAGATAGGTCCTTTGTCCCACCAGGTGACGAAGATAAACCAACTCACTATGTTTGCCTATGCTCCCTTGTACAAGTCAAAAATAGACACCAGAGTGGCGTGTCATCACCTTGTTGTCGACCATTCTACCAAGCCATTAGCATAGAAGAATCATAAAGTTTGTAAGGAGAAGAGAGGTGCCATCAATGAAAAAGTAGGCAAAGTATCAAGTGTTAGGTTCATCATAGAGACAAAATATCCTACTTGGTTAGCCAACATAGTGCTAGTGAGGCAAGCAACAAACAAGTGGTGCAAGTGCATGGACTTTAACATTCTCAACACGGCATGCCCTAAAGAGTCGTACACCTTGTTGGATATTATCCGCCTAATCGATGGGTCCTCAAGATATCATACGTTGATCTTTTTGGATGCCTACTCAGGGTACAACTAGATTAGAATAGATCCTTAGACGCACCCGAAACGATGATCTTGTCGAGTTATGGTAACTACTATAACAATTCCATGCCATTCAATCTCAAGAATGTTGGTGCCACCTACCAAAGGCTCATGGACGTCGTGTTCTTCCACCAGATAGGGAGGAACCTAGAGGTATATGTTAACAACATGATAATTAAAACTACCGAAGAGCGTTGACATGCTGCATACCTGAAAGACATACTACAATTAGTCATGAAGTACAGCATGTGCCTGAATCTCCGCCAAGTGTTCCTTCGGGGTCCAAACAGGAAAGTTCCTTGGGTTCATGATGACAAAGAGAGGCATTGAAGCAAGTTTAAATAAATTTCAAGGTTTCATTGGTAGTAGGATCCGCGCTAATGTTAAAGAAGTCCAATAGCTTACAAGTTGCCTTGTTACCCTGTCTTATTTCCTCTTTTGTATGGGTGATAAGGCTTTCCTCTTCTCCATCGCCCTAAAGAAGAATGAGAGGTTCAAGTGGACTAGAAAGTACAATTAGTCTTTCTCAAAAATAAAAGCCTTCCTCACAACTTCGCCCATCCTCACCCGCCCGAGGGAAGGATCACCACTGCTCCTCTATATTTCACTCACAGACCATGGAGTAAGCTCAGTGCTAGTCTAAGAGACATATAAGATAGGAAGGCCTAGGTATTTCGTAAGTAAAGTGTTTAAATGCATTTAGACACGATATCAAAAAATTGGGAAGCTTTCTTTTGTTGTCATCGCGGCGAGAAAGCTTCGGCCATACTTCTGAGGTCAGAGTCCTCGTGAAAACCAACTATCATGTTTGATAGGTCCTAAAGAAACCAGATTTAGTAGGAAGGATGGTATCTTGGTTAGTGGAAATCTCAGAGTATAACATCCAATATGTTCCTAGAGGAAGCATCAAGTCCTAACTCGCAAGTTTGAAGATGACAAGGTTTAATCACACAATTATTCAAGAGACTCTCGTAGCCCCCAATATCGAGGCAGACAATTCCTAAGCCCTAGAGGTCACCCCTGAGTCAAGTTAGATTTCACTCATACTACATTACGAGCAGGATGACGAACTCCCTCAAGATGAAGTGGAAGTAAAGAAGGTACAAAACTTTATAAGATGGGAAAAGCCTCTTTAATGCTACATTGTTTGGGGAGCATGAAATCACATTAGTCCTCACTAAGGTCCACCAAGGGCCCTGCAAAAGTCATATTGGCAGTAGAGATCTTGTCTATAGCCTACTTAAGGTGAGATATTATTGGCTCACCTTGATAAAGAATAGTGTGATCTTCGTTGAAAAGTGAAATCAATGTTAGAGACACACCAACCTTCACCGCGCCTCATCTGAACTTCTTCAATCCTAACATCACCCTGACCATTTTACTAGTGGGGTGGACATCTTAGTCCCATTCCCCCTGACCTCTGGGCAACTGAAGTTTTTTTTCACAAAGTGGATAAAAGAAGAGGTTGTCTCCAAAATCACAGCCGAGACTTTGCCATTTCTAGTGGAAGAAGATCATGTGGAGGTTTGGACTTCCTAGCGTCATTGTCTCTAATAATGGAACCCAATTCTTTAACACCACATTCACTGACTTTTGCTGCAAATTAGAGGTTTAAACGAGGTTCATCTATGTTGCCCACCTTTAATCCAATGGATAAGCAGAGTTAGCGGACAAGGTAATCCTGAAGGGAATCAAGAAAAAATACGGCAACACCAAGGGGTTATAAGCAGAATTACTCCATGAAATATTATGGTCATATCATACCACACCCCCCACATAACTACCAAGGAGACTCATTTCCACCATGGTATATGGATCGAACATTATGATGCCCTCGGAGATCGGTACGCCCTCATGGTGACGCTTTCGATTCAATCTGGAAGTGAATAATACATGATTAAAGTTTGCCACAATTTTGGTTGATGAGTTAAAATATGTTGCTCGTGTTGTACCTCGAAAAATACGACCTCGCGAAGAAAGTTCGCGGATGGACTAACAGGGAGTCGCCACCGAACATTTATTCCTAAGAAGGGAAAGGGAAAATATCGAGAAAACCCGCATGAAAAATAATAGGGTATGGTCATCGCAACCATGTTCGGTTCGGAAGTTGCTTATATAAGGAGAAGGTGTTAGCACTCCCTACATCCATCGTACTCGATGGGAACCGTCTAAGTTGTATAGGCATAAAGGGTATCCAATATCTTATAGATTGATAAGGGAATGAAGGATGATTACTTTAGAGAAAATGAAAGTTTTTTATTATTGAGTTCGTCTGAGTTTTCAACCCAGTGCCTACGTATCCCATATGGAATTAGAACTCTGTAGTTCTTGTTGAAACTGTTTTTAGTTTGTTGTATGTTTTTTATGGATGATGCTAAGTAACATCTCCTTTTTGAAAAAATAGATTTTATATTTAAGAAAAATACTCGATGTATGATCGAGGTTTGAATTTTCTTGATGGCGATTGCAAAAGGCAACCGACTTGTGAGGGAAGAAACCACTTGACGTTGGATCAAGGGTTTGAGAAAAATTTAGGTCGATTCCTAGTCCCTAAAGGTGCTCCTAGTAAACGAAACCACAACCAAAAAAATCTCTTAGTGGGTGCATGAGGTTGGTGCAAAGCTAAAAAAAAGTTATTGACTTACAGGGTTTAAAAATTGCTTGATTAGATCAAGAATTAATTTTAAAAGCAATTTAGGCGTGAACAAAAATAAGAGGTATTCACAATATTAACATCGCACACCAAATG